CCCCGGGGCCATCTGCCTACTCAACCCCCGTCCCTCCCTCCGCCCCCAGGGCACCTACAAGCTGGGTGTCACACCCGCGGCGACCCTCTCGGCCACCGGCACCGCCAGCAAGGCTGCCTCTGGCCTGACCGTCAACCTGCCAACAACGGCGGTCAACGTTGACCCGCCCACCAAGACCGTCACCGTCGAGGGCCAGAAGCAGGGGGCGTGAGCGCCCAGGGCGCGAGCGCCTAGATTGTACAAGCGCCTTGTGACGATGGCAGCGGCCGACTTGTCTCCCCCATCCGCCTTTTGCTGCTGTATTGCCAGCTGCGGTGAAGGCCAGGGCCAGAGCCTGGGGCAGGCAGCCAAGGGCCGGCCAATGCAATGCGTGTACAGCTCGCACTCCCGTGACACCTTAAAACCCGTGATCAAGCTCCCCCTGTATGCGTCTTTCGTGATGCATTGCCGCCCGAGTAAACTGTGCGATGTGCAACGAAGTGAAGCGGCCACTTGTGCCAGCCGCGCGCCCTGGGGCCTGGTGGCTGGGCCACGCGCGGGTGTTGCTCTGGGTGGGGGCGAAATCAAGCATCCGGGGGGTGATGGGTTCTGGAGCAGGGCGGGACCCACGGGCGTAGGCAGCCACAAAGGCAGACATTTCTAGGCCTTGGTTGATCAAAAAGTACCTTCAGTTTTGAACAGAGATGAAAGTGTGGCGCTGGAGGGGTTAGCAGGCGAGGACATGAACCAGCACCCAAGCTTGGTCGATTTGGGCCCCCACAAACGTGCAGACGGAAATGCAGGGGGGTTGCGTTGCTGGCGGGGGATATCACAACCAACACAGCTGTACTTCCCGAGATGCTTGCAGCCAGGTTACGCCTGAAAAGGTTCTGGCTGCAACCAGCTGCGTGCGCGCAAGCTGTTCGCTGGGGGCAGCGCAGTCTGAGTACTAAAGTGGCACTCTTGATGAAGGGTATTATGATGTGAACCACATTGTTTTTATTCTGTGATCAATTATTGACGTGGCACACCAGAGTTACGTATGGGTCGTGTTTCTTAAGTTGGGGATGTCATTGCGAAGGAACTGCCGAGCAACCGCTTCACTGATCACCAGCAATCTCAGGCGGCAGCTTGATCCATGCTGCCAGGCTGCTGCGACAAGCTGTTGAAATTTGTGTTTTCAACTCGATGAAACAATGCACATTCTTCAGGCGCACTCCCATCATCCCCGCGGCCATTGGTCGGGCCAACGCAGCCTAGGAACGCCCAACGCCGATATACCCCTGCCCGTTTTGTGAACGTGAAAACACTCGGATCAAGTATTGCGGCATTCTAGACCGTAACAATCAACTGAATCGACATGGCGCGCTCCGCGAGGAACGCCCGCGCGGTGCTGCTAGTGGCGCTGCTCGCCGCGGCCGCAGTGCAATCGTGCAGCGCGCAATCCCTGAGGGCGGCCCTCAGGACCGGCAGCCCTTCAGACTTCTGGCTCAAGCCCCCGGTGCGCGCGCCGCCGCAGCTTTGTGCCGCGCCGTGCGCACACGGCACCTGGGAACCAACTGGGCAGCAGCACTGCAGGGGCGCAGCAGGCGGCCGACCGGCTGCGGTGACGTGCAAGATGGGTGAACGGCTTGTTACGCACCCTGAATCGACCGCATTCTTGCCTCAACTAGTGTCTTTAGAACCGCTCACCACACGCCCTCATCCCCCGGCGCGTTGCGCCTGTGTTGCGCCCTCCGCCCCGCCCCAGCCGCCGCCGGGGGTGATCCTGGGCAACATATTCAACGACGTGTTCCAGGGAATGGCCAAAACCCTTGCACAAGGCAAGGGTGGTGCTGGCACAGTGGGCAAACCGGCGATCAACTTCGACCTAGCGGTGAGCTGATTTTTTCACGTAATGTTTTTTCCATTTGTTGGTGTTGGTATTGGGGAAAGTGTGCGGGACCTGGATCAAATTCAGCGGGGAGGGGGCTGCTGCTCACAAAAGGGTGCCGCATGGCATGCCACGAGCGTCGGGGACGGGCGAGCGCCTGACGAGGGGCTGCGGTCGTCGTCGTTGTGAGCGGCGGGAGGTGCTGGACCGCGCCCATGAACATACCGGGCAAGCAAGGAGCCGCAGTGTTGACCAAAAGCGCAGCCAGCCTTGTCAGTCTAGAAACTCTCATGAAAGGGGAGGGTTCAGGCACCGAGGAGGGCGCCTTGCACCAGCCGCAGCTAACAACAATGTCGCAGCAGCCGGCCGCACTGCACGCCATGCGCTCTGGAATCACCAGATGCCGGGCGGCGCGGCCCCTTCTCGCGGCGGCGCCTCCCCAGGGGACCTCCTTTAGGATCATCGCCCCACACAGCGCCCCCTGTTCCCTGCGCTTTGCAAAGTCCTTGACACAGTCGGCCCCTTCTCATCCCCCCACCCCAACCCTGGCCCCTGCAGCCTGAGGTCAAGGTCAACCCCAAACTGGGAGTGGTGCCTGTGTCCCTGGCCCCAACCCTGGCGCTGGACGAGACGGGCCTCGACCTCACACTCACCAGCAAGGTGAGCGCGGGCTGGCTCAATTTCGTGCCTGAGCTCACGTCATGGTGACGTCACTCAAAAACCCGACACGAAACCCAATTCTGCTGCGCACCGTTGTAGGCCTGCGGCGAAGCCGCCAACGTCACCGCCTCCAGCTGCGGCGGACGGATCCCAGCGCTTCCTCCCTTCCATCGTCCACCCACATAACCAAGCACTTTCACATACGGGCCCTCAATGCACACTGTGCCCCTTGACACGCGCATGTGAAACCCTTCCACTCACACCCACTCCCGCGCCTCTCAGGCCAGCGGGGAGCTGGACTTCACCCCGCAGCTGACACTGTCCGGGGCAGACACCGTGACGGCGCCCGCGCTGCAGGAGACCGTCACGCCCCCCACCTACACCACCACCGTCGAGCCAACTACCACCTCAACCACCACCATCAC